TTCACCAAACTCCGGAAACAGAAACAGAATTCAGTCTGAGCTACGGTGGGGAGTGAGAGGCAGTGAAGAACCTGTAGGTTCTGGATCCTTCTTTCCGCAGCAGCACCTTTCTGGGAGGCCTGCTCACTTGCTAAGGGTTTACTGCTGCTTCAAAGCGTTTTCTTGCCTTTCCTCTTGCACCTGTTCCCGTCTCTGAGCTTTAAGGTCAGGCTGAGCTCAAACTTTCCTTTTTAGCTCTCTGTCCATTACAGTAACAAGAGCTAACACTGCGTCACTCGTGGGAGAAAGGAAGTTTCCCAATGGTGCCTTAAAGCCTAGCGCCAGGAGCAGTCCCTCGGATTAGGAGAAACATGCCACAGGATCTGGTAATCACAATTAACTTCCCGCCCAGTTTTGCCGAAGCGATTCAATAACCGGAACTAGAGAGAGTATCTAATTTTTCAAAAAGGCATTCTATCCCCCACCTCCCAAGCCAGGAATATTAATCCAGATTTCTTCCTATTAAGTCCTTCCTATTAAGTCTTCCTATTAAGTCCTATTAATCCAGATTTCTTCTATTTTCTGTCTCCTGTAAAGTCATCTAGGACAGGTCGAAGCATATCACATCCACAAGGAAAGGAAAGGTCCCCCTCAGTTTTGGCCGCAGGAAAGGACCGAGGCCACAGCACCGGCCTTCCGCAAAGAGTCTGACAGGCTTGTGGCATTATTCTGAGCACACTGGTCTCCCTGATGCAGGGGCCCTGCTGTGGCCCCTCATTCTCTCTGCAGAAGCAGCAGGTGCTGTTCTGCCTGGGTGGTCAGGCTTCTCTTAGGGACAGTGTTGCAGAGGACAGGTGTTGGAATGATGTTGGACAGGCTTTGACTGCACTGGACTGAGGGCTCAGGGCTGGGAGAGCCACAGGGGCTGTGGCGATGAGGGACAGTCTGTGTAGCCGAGGCCCTGAGCCTTGAGGCTGGGAGACGCATCTCCCGTCAGTGGTCTGGATGGAGCCAAATACCTCCTTAGGGTATGTGGCAATTTGAATGTACAAAATCCCTATATACAAAATACCCTACATGGATGGAAGCAAGGGGCTGGACCTTGTTCATGGAAATGGAGAACGTCCACTTTTGACAGCGAGGTGCATGGAGAGATTGGCTGGGACAATGACACGAGTTCTAGGCTGCTAAGAGTTATTCCCTACGAGTTATCTCTACGTGAATTATGCTCTATGAGTTACCTATGAGTTATGTGGTGAAATTTAGGGGGCTGGGGAGAGGTTGGTGACCGACACTGCAAACTCCATGGGGAGTCACCACTTTCCCGTGGGCCTGCAGCGACTCAAAGAGAGGACAAGGAAGTGGGACTGAGGAGACGGTGTCTCCCTTCAATCATTAGTCCAGATGTAGCCAAATATCTAGTGACTTAGATATATGGCAATATACACCACACACACACACACACACACACACACACACGATGTGTATTTACATTATATCCTTCCAAGATGATTAAAGGAAGGGACTTATTCACATGGATGAGGATAAAACAGCTCCAGTGGTACACTGCAGGCGGCTGGACTCAGGACAGGCTCTCGAGACGGCTAAATCGTATCTGCTGAAAGCCATCTCCCACCTTGGCCATGGCAGGTGGAGACCAAAGGAGCCATTAAATCCTGGCAAATTTCCCCTCCCTACACACACCTAACAGGAAGGGGATGGGGGATCTGTACAAATTTAGCAGGGGGCAGGAGGAACTTGTGGGGATGATTATGTCCCTTAATCAACTGCCCAGCTGTTACCAAATATCATGACATTATATTTGGCAAATGCACACATATAAAAATAGTTTACACACATGACGAGTGGCGAGGAAAGCAACGATACATGTCATAACCAAGTTTCTACTTACAGGCTTGGGACCAATGGGTCTATTCATGAAACAACAGGTTCTCAAAAAATATGTTTACCCCCTGATAAGTTTGTCTTTAATATGTGAATACTCATGGAAATGTCTCCTTTCAGCTACTTTGAAAACACAGGTAGTGATAAGATAGACTCTTTAGTATGAAATCTCTGATTTTACAGGCTATTCTGTGGGACCCTTCTATTTTACAAGCTGAAAAACTGGGCTAAAATGTTATAATATCAGCTTCCTTTAATACTGTCAATCACTGCAGAATATTTCCCGGAAAATTCTGTTTTTTTTTTTTTTCTGCTTTCTGCCAGGACTTGTTAGGAATGGCTTGAGCAAATACCCCCCCTAACCCCCCCCCGCCCCCCAGTCCACAGCACTTTGTGGCTGTGGAAAACATTCCACAATCCAGTATCTTTCAGGGGTGAAGGTAAGAGAATGAATTAGAAAGAGAAGGAAAAATGCCTTACTCTGAGGGCCCTTAAATCCATCTGCAACAAACGGCTGAGAGAAATGTTTTCCCCTTTGACTACAGGGGACCCAAACAGATGTACACACACAAAAAGAATTGTATACAGTTCATCTAGTGGTCAGTGGCAGATGTTTACCAACCAGTGACTCAGTGTGGGAAGACCCTGCTTTGCAGCATTTTGGTACTTCCCATGGTATAAATGTCAAACTACCAACAATAAACAGAGCTTCCAGCTGGGAAGAGATGTGTAACAGCTGTACATAGATAAATGGTATTTCTGCTCTACAGACACAACAGATTAAAATGATCTCAAGAGCATAAAAATTGAAGTTATATTTGAATGTTGCTGGTTTTGTTTGTTTGTTTGTTTGGGGGCCATACCTGGCAGTGCACAGGGCTTATTCCTGACACTTCTCTCAGGATCACTCCTCGGGCACCAGGGATCAAACCTGCGTCAGCCGCAGCCGTCTGTCAGGCAAACAAATGTCCTGCTCACTGTACCATCTCTCAGGCCAGCCCCAAGAAATGCTGTTTTTAGACAAATAAAACTCACTTAATTGTTAGTTCTGCCATTTCATTTTCAGTAATGACTGTGTTTCAGAATGAGTTTATTAAATTCTTGATCACTTCACGACTGGTCAGACTTCAAGAGTACTCCAACATAAAAAAGTGTGTAGGAAACACTGATTTAGTGTGTGTGGTAAAAAACAAGTCCAAGGATTCTCAGGGCTCCAAATGTGTCAACATGTTCTAATCAACAGTTTTAAAACATACGTAAAATATTCTCCAGAAAAATGATTCCCAGGGCTGTTTTTTTTTTTTTTGTGAGACAGATGTGGTACTTAAAATAGAGGTAAACGGTCAATGTTCTAAAAGCTATCCTAATTCATTTTCATGTGCTTTAAATGTGAACTAGAACAAATATATAGTTGATCTCCCCACTAACTTCCTTGCTGCTACTTCCTAAGTAACTTAGATGCACTGTTACTAAACAGATTCTAGACCGGGTCCCCCTTCCCTTCCTGGGCTGGCAATCTCTTTAGCTCCAGGAGTCATTAGAAGGAATAATAGAATCACAGTGGAAAGCAGACAGACTAAAATGGAAGGAAGGGGCTGCGCTGGTCAGTGTCCACATGACAGCCTCAGGGCCAGGGACCAATTTCCTTAGATCAGCACTGCACCAACCCAGTTGGGTGCACAAGACAGATCAATACCTGCTACCATGCAACCATTGGAGTAAATGATAATTCACATTAGTTCCTGATGTTTGCATATGTATGGATGCTCTTACCATGGGTGAAAATCTGTATGACTGACTTAAGTGATTACACTTCATCCTGTGACTTTTGGTGAAAAAGATATTATATATATGTATATATATTTATCTTTAGCTTGCACAAGATGTACAACAGCTGGATGGAGACTATCTTTTTACACTGAAGAAGAAGCAATGGCTGCTTCTCAAATTTGTCAGCACGATATAATCATGTGTAGTGCAATTATTCTTGCTTCATTGGGAGGTGAGCTGTTTTAACGGCCTTCCTCCTCTTATTAACACTTAAACATCTCCCATCGTGTCTGGAAAATGTCAAAACGGCTTTGTAAAAAAAAATTCTCCATAGAGTGATGTTAAAAATTAAACTTATGATAAAATATTAATGAAGGTAGTATGCCAACTTATTTTGCTATCAGGAAATCTGTCCTGAAGCTGTTATCAGTGGGTTAACAAATACATTAAAACATATATATACATATTTTAGGTATGTATTTTGGAAGGCTGGGGAGAGGGGGAACACCTGGCTGTGCTCACCACAGCATGTGGTTGCAGGGATTGAACTGGAGTAAGCTATGTGCATAGCAAGCACCTTAACTCTACATTCTCTCTCCCTGGCTTGTAGGTTACTAACTATTTTATACTTGTCTTCTTTATTTATTTATTTATTTATGTTTCTGGGCCACACCTGGCAGTGCTCAGGGCTTATTCCTGACTCGGTGCTCAGGGATTACTCCCAGAAGTGCTCAAGGAACCATATAGGGGGGTGCCAGTAATGGAATCCAATTGGTGGTGAGCAAGGCAAATGTCCTACCCTGTAATGCACTATTGCTCCAGCCCCTCTACTTGTTTTCTGATGCTGTGAGAAAGAATCAGAGCACAGCCTTGCTCTTTGAAGACGATACCACCGACTCCCAGGCAGCAGGGCATGCGCACCGAGTGGTATTTCTGGAAGTATGGGAGAATCTGTGCTAAGCCCATCACGTTTTCTCACCCAGGGAAAGCTTGGCAATACTTTTGCATGTAGTCATCAGAACACTTCAAATGCAGTGAGCCTAACTCAAAGCTATGCATGTAAACGGAGATTAGGCCTCTATCGAAATCACAGTTATAAACACATGAAGACAGAAAATTCCATACAGAAAATTCAGTGGCTTTTTTTTTTTTTAAAAAAGCCACACATATTAAGCCAGCAAGATAAGTCAACATCAAGGTGGTTCAACCGTTTCCAGTTGCTATCCCTGCTAAGACCTGCAGAAGTCCACTAGTGCAAGTTGCCAGAGGTGTCCAGGGGCAAATAACTGTATATATTAAAAAATTCAAGATAAATAAGAAGTGCTTAAAAAAAAAAGAAGGACAACTGAATTGTAAATGGAGTGGTTAATGGAAATCAACAACCTTTGATAAAATGGTCCCCACAAGGAAGAGGAGCTTTTGAATGGCTGCCAAGGTGAGACTTTCCTTCTTCAAGATTATCGTCTGTCTCCTTCCACTCGTTTCTTACGAACTAGGTTAAGAAAGAAAGGAACAAATTTAAGGCACAGGCCTTGGACTCCAGATGAACAAGACGAACTACATGGAACAGCCATCCCACAAACAAGAGGACAGTTATCTTATTTTTCACTCTTTCATGACCCCCTGACAATAAATGGGAATGATATGAGTCCAGTGTGTTATGGAATTTTTCATTTAAATAAAATTGTGGCTGGGAGCTCGAATGTCAGAATTTTCTCATTTCTATGACATATGAGATCCAGAACAGATTCAACAGTCAACTTCTGAATATTTCCATGGCCATGTTGCCACAGCACCCGATTGCGACCCGATCACCATCTAGCTCTCACAACCTACTACCAACTCTGACTGCAGCTTGAATAATCAGGAGGAGCAGCAAACAAAAACTAGGCATTTCTTTTCCTTTATTCTTTTTTGATTTGGGGGCCACACCTAGCAATGTTCAGGGGTTACTCCTGGCAATGATCGGGAGACCAAATGGGATGCTGAGGGTCGAAACCAGGTTGGCCGTGTGTAAGGCAAGGACCTTACCTGCTGTGCTATCTCTCCAGCCCCATAAGAGAGACATTTCTAAACCTGTTTTTAAAAGAGAACTCCTATGCAGGGGGCCAGGAGATTGTTCAAGGTCTATGCAACATGCCTTTGCATGTGCTAAGTTTGATTCTCCAGACCACAGGGCACCACAAGCACTGCTGGATGGATGGAGCCCAGTTGGACCCTGATACCCCAGAAACTGAGTACTAAGTCGTCAGATCACAGAGTTGGGCCAAATATTCCTATGAGTGGTCCCCAAGCCTCCCAGAGCACTGTTTGGGAGAACCTCCTCCCACCAAGCAAATCAACCCACTCCTCCTAAGCATCAACCACCATAGTTCACTCAGAGGGGGCATGCAAAGTCAGAGCCCAAACATTCCTTTAGGCTGTTGCTTCGAATTCATGACAGCGAGACCATCTGTTCCTCATTTCTCTCTTTGACCTTCACCCCCAAGCTCCAACCTGCCCTCCTTGGCTCATATAAAGGGCTTCCCTAATTTTTCTTGATTCAGCAAGAAGGTAGCCTGGTGGGGGTATTGCCCAAACTTGAGTGGCCCAAAGGGCACAAGGTTTAAGATAAAGAAGCCAGGGGCTGGAGAGATAGCACAGTGGGTAGGATGTTTGCCTTGCATGCAGCCAACCCGGGTTCGATTCCCAGCATCCCATATGGTCCCCAGAGCACCGCCAGGAGTAACTCCTGAGTGCAGAGCCAGGTGTAACCCCTGTGCATCGTTGGGTGTGACCCAAAAAGAAAGAAAAAAAAGATAAAGGAGCCAGAGAGAATGCGAGGTTTGGGGAGCCTTTAAACCCAGAATGCTGTGCAGAGGGGTCCTATAATTGTTTTATTTCTGCTCCGTCTCCCAGAAGAATTTCCCTTGGAGAAAGCCCAATACAAAGATGCATGTTCTGATATACAAGGGCCTTCGGATGTATAAAGGTCTAGCTAGGACAGATTAAGAGAGTTAAGGTGTTTGCCCAAAGAATGTTGTTCTCCTCCTTCTGATGGTTAAGCAATAAATATTGTACCTGAAGGACAGTTGGATTCTCATCTCAGACTGTGAGTTGTAAGCCTGGCTTATACTTTTTCTCTCATTATTATTATTATGTTACTTCTGTCTCTTTTCTTCTCCTTTTTGGGGGTAGGGGGGTCATACCTGGCCATGCTCAGGGGTTACACCTGGCTCTGCACTCAGGAATTACTTCTGTCACTGCTTGGGGGACCCTATGGGATGTCGGGAATTGAACCCAGGTCAGCCACATGTAACCCAAGTGCCCTACTTGGAATGCCACTGTTCCGGCCCCATGTATCTCTTGCTCTTTTTATTTATTTTTTTTGGGGGGGTCACACTCGGCAATGCTCAGGGGTTGCTCCTGGCTCTGCACTCAGGAATTACTCCTGGCAGTGCTTGGGGGACCACATGGGATGGCAGGGATTGAGCCCAGGTCGACCGCGTGCAAGGCAAACACCCTACCTCTGTGCTACTGCTTCGGTCCCAAGTCTCTTTTCTTAATTCTTGTGGTGTCCCTACCTCAGGCCTGTTCACATGGGGCTGGTTCTTGGCAAGGTGTCCCCCAGTAGGAAACATGACAGAAACAGCTGCCCTGACTTGCCTCCTGTGTGCACGGTCACCTCCCCACTGCTTCCTGCCTCATCTTCCTGTGACTCCACACTGTTCAGCTGTGGGCTGCATATGCTTCTCCTGGCTGCTTTCCAATGCTGTCCCCACCCATTCCTGAAGCCCTGTTTGCCGGGTTGTCCCCTTGGCATCCCTCACTGCACCCTGAAAGCAAGCCCTGCCACAGGCCTAGCCAGCCTTGGGAGCCACAGGCCAGACCTGATTTGGGTCTTCAGAGCACATCTGGGCAGGCAACTGGACGCTTACCATTATCTGCCTCTCCAGGTCTAACCTTTAGCTGACCCTTTCCTTGTCCACTACCTGAATCTCTGCAGGGTCTGGCATTGTTTATTGGGTGGGACACTTTCCCCAGTTTGCCCGTTCAAGGCCTGGCCTTTCTATTTCTGGAACCTCAAACTGGTCACTGAGGCCTGCAGTTGGTTCAGTGGACTACTGACTCTAGAAAACCCCTTTGCTTGCCTGCTGGAGGCTGATGGGATGTCAGCTGACCAAGGTTTCCCAATCTGTCCCACTCTCCCATTCTGGGTCTGGAGAGGTAGTACAGTGGGTAGGGCTCCTGCCTTACATGTGGCCAAGCCGGGTTCATTTCCGGCACCCCATATTGCTCCCCAATCCCTGCCAGGAGTGATCCCTGAGTGCAGAGTTAGGAGTAAGCCTTCAGCGGGGTGAGAGGTGTAGCGGGGTGGGAGTGGGGGGACAGGAAAGCTGCTTCTAAGTTTAACCTTCCTTCCATAGCTCCATCAATCTCCATCAATTTATTTCATATGTAAGTGATGCATCCGACTCAACCAAAGGCCTAGGGAGGAGTTTCTCTGTTACATCTGAGTGTAGAAATGAACAATCATCAGCTTCTCACTGCATTACCGAGGTCGTTATTCTTTGTGATGGCGGCCGCCACCCTGGTTCGTGGCCCTTGCTTGGTAAACTGATATCCAAATTTGAGGATCCTGGAATTCTCCTCCAGCATCTGGGCAATTTCCATCTCGACAGCCGTTCCCAACTGCTGTCTCTGGTTGTGGGGGTGAAAACACATAGGGAAAGACAAGAGAAGAAGAGGAGACAGTTAATTGCATGGCCGAGATGCGTGCAGACTTATTAGCCAGAGGCAAAGTGGCAGGTCTCACGTTCAAAGGGACAAAGGGGGCTGGAGAGATGTTCAGAAGGTAGGATGCTTGCCTGGCACCCAGTTTGATTCCTGGCACCCCATATGATCCCCCAGCCCCGCCAGGAGCGATCCCTGAACACAGAGTCAGGAGGAAGCCCTGATCCCTACCAGGTATGGTCCCAGAAACAAAATAAAACCAAAGGATGGGGCGGGAGGGAAACTGGGGACATTGGTGGTGGAAAGTATGTACTGGTGGAGGGATGAGTGTTCGATCATTGTATGACTGAAACCCAAACATGGAAGCTTTGTAACTGTATCTCATGGGGATTCAATAAAAATAAAATGAAACCCAAAGGACAAAGTCACTGGAGCCATTTTTATCCTGTATTTTTGTTTGAGACCTGCTCCTTGTCTAGAAGCAAAATCCAAAGGCAGCGGACTCTGCTGACTGAACGCAAAACTGAAAAAGCAAGGCAAAATTATGAGGAAAAAGATTCCACATGTAAAGTACACCTATGGTTTGGGGTTTCCAACATACTCCAGTATCTTCAGTTTAAACAAAGGTGCTTTATTATTTTTTTAGGGGGGGGAGTGGCTCAGGGCTTAATCCTGGCTCTGTGCTCAGGGATCATCGTGGCAGTGCTCAGGGGACGCTATGCAATGCCTGGGTTTGAAATTGGGTCAGTTATGTGCAAGGCAAGTGCCTTACCTGCTATACTATCTCTCTGGCTCTACTAGGCAATGAATGTTTAATTATATATCATTTAGAACAGGCCTTTTACATTTGGAAAACATAAGTACCAAGAAGATGAAGGATAAACCTTTTTGGAGAAACTTTTGGTTTGAGGCAAGTGCTGAGGCTAAATTCTTTGCTCTTAGAGTCAGTCAGGTGCGGTTCATTCCCTCCTCACCTCCCTAACCCAACAAATTACAGATACCCTAAAGAAATTCTTCTTTAGAAATTTGCCAGGGATGTAACTCAGCAGTAGAGCAATTGCCTCACATGTTGAAGTCCTGGGTTCAATTCCTAGCATGACCAAAAAAAAAAAAAAAAGAAAAAGAAAAAGAAAAAAAAATATTGAAATGGAAAATTCTTGGTTCCTTTCATTTTCATTCAATAACCCAGGAGACAAGTCTCGCCACAAGAAACAGTAAATGGTGGTAATTCTGGTGAGAGTCATAAAGTCATAATTCTGCACATCTACTGATTTGTGAGCAGAGTGGGTGACAGGCAGTCGAAGAGTAAGAGAGAGGTTGGAGAGATAATACAGCGGGTCGGGCACTTGCTGTGCACACAGCCAACCTGGGTTTGATCCCTGGCACTTCGCTCCAGATCAGGATCATGATCTCCTGAGCAGTGCCAGGAGTGAGAGAGAAGCCCTGAGCACAGCAGGATGCGGCCCCAAACCAAATCCAAACAAACAGAAAAACAGAGTCAGAGAGACTAGGCTGCCCTTGTGTTTCGGGAAGAGCTGGAGTTCCTGACATGGTCATAACAGTGGGACCCTGTCAAGGCTGAGATGAAGACTGGGGCTGCCACCAGCACTGATGGGCCAGGGGTGACTAAAAGGACAATACAGAAGTCATCTGTCCCTCTCACACGTCTCCAGCAAAAAGACTGGGGACTTTGCAGGATGGGCCTGCCGATGGCCATGGGAAGGATTTAGAAGCTGAAGAAAGTACCATTGGGTGAGAGGACATTTTATATATTTTTGTTTGTTTGTTTTTTGGTGACACCTAGAAGTGCTTGGGGGTCACTCCTGGCAGTGCTCAGGGAACCACATGGGGTGCCGGGGACCAAACTGGGGTTGGCTACATTGCAAGGCTAGCACCTGACCAGTTGGACTATCTCTCCAACCCCAGAGGGGGCGCTTTAAAGGGGATGGAATGTTTCTTCTGCACCTATTTTTGTTTTTTTGAGGACTTCGTGTTGCATAAGCCCAAGCCAACACATGGCACCAAAGTTTATAAACTCTGGATATAGTTTTCTTTTTAAAATGTTAAATGCAAAGGCCTTTTTTTTTTCTTACTTAGATTTGCTGTTTTAATCAGTTGTTTAAAAATGTGCAGAACAGAGAAACATTATCTTAGTAAAGTATACATCAAGGTTTGCTAATAATTTAATAGGGTAAACAGTATTTGAGGGTCAATAGTTTCCTTAAGAGACCCTAGAGACCCTTTCAGGCATATGTTTTTTTATATTAATATTTGTTTTATTGAATCACCATGATAATAGAGCATTACAATACAAAGACATTTTAAATACAATCATGAAGGGAAAAATATAATGGGAAAAAAAACCATCCTGAAAATACAAAAATACATTTCTTTCTTTTGGTTTTGGAGCTATACCCAGTGATGCTCAGTGTTTGCTCCTGGCATGAGCTCAGGGATACTCCTGGTGGTGTTCAGGGGACCCTTTGTGGTACAGGTTGGCCGTGTGCAAGGCCATCTCCACTGCATTATCTGAGACAGACCGGGATGAAATGCCTGCCAGAGGCCAGACATTCAGTTTTGCATGTCAGGGCATGGCCAACCCGTCCCTCGCTCCTGTCCTTTGCAGTGACCAGCCAAGAAAAATGGCTGCCCCACTGTGCAGCGTTTAATTATCTACTCAGATCACCGAGCCAAGTGCTCCAAGCAGCGTCTCCGGCTCCTCCCTGCAGAGTTGAGTTCCCCCGCCCCCTCCCCCCAGCCCCCACAGGCTCTGCGGGCAGCTGACCTGGTTGTCGATCTTGATCTCTGTCACGGTGTCATTTTCCTTCAGCGCCTGCACCAGGGCCAGGATCCCGGTCCCAGTGATGAAATTGGACTCTACGTTTAGACTTGTCAAGGTCTTGTTCACTTTCAGCATATCTGCAAAAGCCTTATTATTTCGGAAGAAAGAACCATTAGGATTTCGAGAGATTCCCTTACTGTGTTCCCCAGTCCCACACTTTTATTGTAAAGAAGACCTTATATTGTAGTGACTTAAAATTACAATAGAAAGGAATAGTTCGGGGGCTGGAGAGATAGCACAGCGGGTAGGGTGTTTGCCTTGCATGCAGCCAACCCGGGTTCGATTCCCAGCATCCCATATGGTTCCCTGAGCACTGCCAGGAGTAACTCCTGAGTGCAGAGCCAGAAGTAACCCCTGTGCATCGCCGGGTGTGACCCAAAAAGCAAAAAAAAAAAAAAAAAAAAAAAAAAAGGAACAGTTCAATAGCCCATAATTGAGTTCAATACCTGCAAAAGTTCCAAAAAAAATTTTTTTAAAGGGATACATAAGAGTTTCATTTGTGTTTTTGGTAAGTGACACTCAACGGTATTCAGGGGCTAGTCCTGGCTCAGAAGTGATATTTGAGAAATCATATGTGATGCCAGGATTTGAACCCAGATCATCTGTGTGCAAGCGCCTTATCTACCTGGTATCCAAGCTCTCCAACCCCATGGATTTCCTTTTCTTGGGGGGAGAGAGCGGTGCTCAGGGATTACATTTGGCTTTTTGCTCAGGGATTAAATAAGGTAGCATGGCACAGAGGGAACAAAGATTATTGGGAACAGAAGCAAATAAAAAAACTTGTAATTGTTATTCCCCCTCTTCCCACCCGCTAAAAGGAAAAAAGGACATTTTTTAAAAAATTCTGATGTTTATGAAAAAAAAAAACCACTGTTTATGTTTATGAAAAAAAACTACAGTGGTAATACAAACAAGAAGACATTCCGTTTTGTTTTCTTTTGCATGTTTTTTTGGGCCACACCTGGCAGTGCTCCGTGATCACTCCTGGCTCTGCTGCCCAAGAAAACATTCTGGAAATTTAAAATACAAGATTAAAACAAAGTAATAGATATCCAGAGTTATAAAATAAACATGGCTGGAGACCAAGTCGGTGAGTTAAAATCTGTAAGATAAAGCTGAGAATATTCACAAGAATGCAGAGTACAAAGACATAAAGAAAGTATTAGAAATGTTAGGAAATAAGGATAAACAAGACAGAAATTCAACATCCATCCGAATTTCAGAAGGGTAAAAAGAATAACAACCAAAGAATAAAAAAAAGATAAAAGACAGGAAACTAAAAAATACTAGGGGAAAATCTCCCAGAGCTGGAGAAAGCTACGAGTCCTTATCTGAGCAAACACACTGGTTGCTAAGCAGAAAAAACAACAACAAAAAGACGATGTGAGCACATTCCAGTGAGATTTCAGAAGGACAGCAGAAAAGAGAGACTCCTAAAAACTCCTAGCAAGAAAAGAGTAAGTTATTATAAAAGAACAGGAATTGGGCTGCCGTGAATGACTAGACGGGGAGGTCTAGGAGAACAGAGGTTTTAGTATTTCAATCAGGTATCAATGCTGATGGCTACATTTTAATTTTTTGGAATCACTCTATCTGAAAATAGAAATATAATGACAGACATGGTAAAGTTCAAATGTTTGAAAATAATCTAATAACTATTATTTGGAAGTATAAGAGAAGGGAAGTTGAGTGAGGACAGATGGCCCTGGAAGCTTCTAAAGGAGAGGCAAATCCTATGAGAGCTGGTGAGAAGAAATGAAAAACATGTAGATTAGGGGTTTCTCTCCTGAGCTACATAGTAGAATGTCCCAAAAGCTATAAAAAAATAGACCTATGTAGGGTTGGGGAAATGGGCCAAAATCTTATCATGATTATCATGATAAGATCCAAATACAAAATAAAACTTAGTGCAATATATTGTAAAAGCCAGAGTTGAACACTTATTTATGTAAATGAGTCAAGGAAGTATATTCTATTTTATTAATGACTTGAATTTTTTTTAAATACATAGCACAGCGGGTAGGGCGTTTGCCTTGCATGCAGCCAACATGGCCGACCCGAGTCCGATTCCTCCGTCCCCCTCGGAGAGCCCGGCAAGCTACCGAGAGTATCTCGCCTGCACGGCAGAGCCTGGCAAGCTCCCCGTGACGTATTCGATATGCCAGACACAGTAACAACAAGTCTCATGATGGAGACGTTACTGGGCCCGCTCGAGCAAATTGATGAACAACAGGAGGACAGTGACAGTGACAGAATAAAATCATATACAATCAATGATCAGAAATTGACTTCTATTGGTTTACTTTCTGATAATTCCATTTGCCATTCCATTAAGTTTTGTTGGAGCAAGGAAAATAAAATGAATTTTCTTATATGCCTGCCAAGGGGTAAGCTGGGGGGTGGGAGGGAACCTGGGGACATTGGTGGAGGGAAGAGGACACTGGTGGTGGGACTGGTGGTGTTGGGACACTGTGTGCCTGAAAGAACTCTATTATGAATGACTGTAAATTCATGGCATCTTAATAAAAATAAAAATTAAAATAATAAAAGAAAAGGAATGGACCAAATGTTAGCACACATGTGCTGGGTGTGAGTCTGGTCCTTGGCATCACAATGGCCACCTGAACACCCTGAACACTGCCAGATGTAGTCTTGGTGACCCCCCACCACCCACCACTTTCCTGTAGCACGGCTAGGGGTGGCTCCTATTGCGCGCGCGCGCACACACACACACACACACACACACACACACACGAGTTCACAACCTCAGACTCTCAGGATGTGAACTCGACAGCTGCATTTTTGAATCGTTCTCCAGGTGACTAATGTTCCTCCAGGACCAACAACCATTTTAATTAAAGTCATAAAGACAACAATTAGAAGAATGAAAAACAAACTGCTTGTAGTGATTAGCTGGGGGAATGTAACAAGAAACCTTTGAACTATTTAATTTCTTTTTATGGCTCCCCCAAAAACAAAAAATAAAAACAAAAACCCAAAAACCCCAAGAAGGAAGAGGAAAAGGAAAACAATTTGAGACAAAGGCAGGGATTCCCAACCTCAGCACTGCGGATATTCAGAGCTAGAGAGGAATTCATGTTGTGGGGGGGTTCTTTGTGTTGAACAAGTCTAGCAGAGGCTTTGGACACCCATTGAACGTCAACAGAATCCCTTCCAGATGTGGCAACTCCAGATGCCTCCAGCCAGGCCACGAGCCCTCTGGAGAACAAAACTGCCCTGAGTTGGGACTAGATGGAGGTGGAGGGTACTCTCGTGTCTTAGCCAAAAGGATGTTTGATCTACAAAGAAAGCTGAAGGAGGTGAGCTAGCAGCGGCGTCCATCAGGCAAATTAAAGTGCATTCATTCATCTTATTCATTGCCAAGGTCTTTAATTAGACCAAAATGTACACATTTTAATGAGCGCACCGGAAGGAAACGCAGCCCGCTGTCCTTTAGGGGTGCTCCAAGCTGGAGATGGACATTTCATTACTAAAACGGCAGAATGCCAGTGCCAGGAGACCTTCTGAGCAAACTCGCAGGACTTCCTGGCAAGGAGTCATGATCTTGCCAATTTCTTTCAAACTTGGGAAAACACTTTTTCTCATACTGAACAAAACAGGGGGAAACCCAGCCAAACATAAGCCTGGGCTTGAGGCCCAAGCTCTTTGCAGTTCAGCAACTATTTGGGCATCGGTTGTATGTGGCAAGGAGAATAAAAAAATATATATATATTAAATTCATGTATAAATATATATGTAAAACATACTTATATATTTTAAGTTTTGCTTCCTTTTAAGAAAACAAGCTCAAAGGGCTGATGCACAGGGCTTGCACGTGGGCACCCTGGGCCTGGTCCCCACCCTCCACTCCCCAGAGAACAACTACTAAAGTTTTCCTTCTGGTGTCCTGTGGGACTGTGTGTGTAGCAAAGCAGTTTCCTGAGCTATGTAAACCTGGGCCAGCCACGCAGCGGCCCTGAGACACAGGTCGCCAACAGGTCTGTGAAAAATCCAGAGTGTGCAGGGCACGGGATGGAAAAAGAAAACCTGCCCCCAATTTCAAAGGTAGGGCATGAAAAAGCACTCATGGAAGCTGAAATCATGGTATTGTGAGTCTGATTTGAATAAAATGTTATTTATTTATTTTGCTTTTTGGGTCACACCCAGCGATGCTCAGGGGTTACTCCTGGCTCTGCACTCAGAAATTACTCCTGGCGGTGCTGGGGGGACCATATGGGATGCTGGGGATCGAACCTGGGTCTGCAGCGTGCAAGGCAAACACCCTACTCGCTGTGCTATCGCTCCAGCTCCTAAATAAAATGTTATTAAGATTAATTTCACCTTTCAGTTATTTTTAACATTGATACTAGAAAGTTAATAGGGGGCCGGGACAATAGAACAGCAGGCTTGAAGCTTGCTTTGCATGTGGCCAACCTGGGTTCAATCTCTGGCACCCCAGAGGGTCCCCTGAGTACCGCCAGGAGTGGTCCTTGAGCGCAGAGCCAGGACTAAGCCCTGAGCACTGCCAAGTGTGGGCTCCCACCCTCCCCCCCAAATCCCACACAAACATAAAAGTTATATATGTGTTTTATGGTGTGGCTTTCATTTTATTTCTGCTGAACCAGGCTGTCCCAAACTCTTGACTTTAGGGGACATCACTGCTAGAAGCACTTCCCCCATCTATATATCTGATCCTTTCCTCTACACTGGCACCGAGAGGGACAAAGTCCATTCAAATCCCCCACCACAGAGGTAGGTATATGGAAGGACGTGGGGGTGGAGTAAACTCAACTTGATTATAGGTCACTAAAATTCATTCCAGGCTGGGCTACATAAATTCACTCATTTTAGACTGTGCAGGCTTCCTCAAGGAACTAAATGAGCCTCAGCTGCCTCATTGGGAAAATGGGGATGGTGCCTTTACACACACCCACTGCGAGCCACGCCACGTGTGCGTCAGAGAATCCGTGTCTGCACCTGAAACTGGGAAGTCTCTGGAAGCTCTGCTTGAAAAGCGAATCTGAATTCCCACCCCAGGTCGTTTCACCGTCACCTCAGTCTGAAGGTCTTTACTGGGGTCAGAGGGA